GTTGGTTTTCTCACCCAACAGCAATAGTTGAGAAGGGACCATTCAGGGGTGTGCTGGCTAAGTTTTTTTTTTTTTCTTTCAGTGGCGGTGGGGGAGGTGGGTCAGCTTAACAAAAGTCAGAGTCATCTGGAAAAAGGGAACTTCAATCGAGAAAATGCCTCCATAAGATTGACCCATAGGGTAGTTAAGAACATTTGTTGCTCCTTCAGAAGGTCCAGCTTTGATTACCAACATCTATATGGCAGCTTGCAACCATATGTAAGTCCAGTTTCAGGGGATTAGTTGCCCCTTTTCTGGCCCCTGCAGGCACTATACATGTGTGGTGCATAGACACACGAAGGTAAAATAATACACACTTAAATAAGTAATAAAAAAATTAAATAGAAAATTTTTACAATTCAGCTCTGGCTGGCAGTGTACAGAATTCTAGATGCTAGTTAAAATATAAAGGCAAATTGAAACTTACAGTCAACATGAATTAGACATATAGGTGAAAACTATAGTCTATCCACCAACAAAGCTATAGATGTAAAGAACATATACAGTGTACCGCCTTTGTTTTGGATTCAGGGGGTAAATGCTGTTTTTTGTTTTTTGTTTTTGTAAAGATTTATTTATTTATTATGTATACAGAAGAGGGCACCAGATCTCATTACAGATGGTTGTGAGCCACCATGTGGTTACTAGGAATTGAACTCAGGACCTCTGGAAGAGCAGCCAGTGCTCTTATCCTCTGAGCCATCTCTCCAGCCCCAGATGCTGTTGTTTAGTGGAGAACACACGTATAGTATTTATGAGGTCCTGGGTCTGGTTCCTAACAACAGGAAAACTAGTTTCAGGGGATCTGATATCCAATGCCCTCCTCTGACCTCCACAGACACCAGGCATGCATGTGGCGCACATATATATGGAGGCCAACTACTCACACACAACATAAAATAAATCTAACAACAACAACAACAAAACAGGTTGTGGTGGGTGTGGTGCTACACACTGTAATCCTAGCACTTGTGGAGGTGAACCAGGAACATCATTCACCAGGTCCAGGCCAGAGAGGCTACAAAGAAAAGCTAAAAGCAAACACCATGACTTACTAACCCCTTCCTTTCGAACCCTTAAGGACCTTGTGAGTTGCTGAATTTGATGAAGTAGGTCTATGGGGTCTTGGCATGTATATTTTCCTTGACAAAGTTCATCCATGGTTTTGACACATTCAAAATGCTTTGTCATTTCTTGTGCACATTTTAATCTTTTTTTTCCGCTTTCTTTTTGAGACAGGGTCTCACTATATAGACCAAGATGTCCTTGAACTCACAGAGCACCACCTGTTTCTGCCTTCTGAGTGTTGGGATTAAAGGTGCACTATACTCAGCTAACATTTAAATTTTCTTCTCTTTTTTAAGACAGGGTTTCTCTGTGTAACAGCCCTAGCTGTCCTGGAACTCACTCTGTAGACCAGGCTGGCTTTGAACTCACAGAGATCCGCCTGCCTCTGCCTCCCAAGTGCTGGTATCAAAGGCCACTGCCCAGCACATTTAAATCTTTTAAACAGCATTAAAACAATAGCAGCAACAACAAAAAAATTCATATAATCCCACCAAAAAATGTCTTTAATTTTTCATATATTTATTTTATTTTGAGACGGTCTCACTATGCACCTCTAGATGTCCTGGAAATCACTCTGTCGACCAGGGTGGCCTTGAACTCACAGAAATCCACCTGCTTCTGCCTCCTGAGTGCTGGGATTAAAGGTATGTGCTACTATGCCTGGTCTTTTCAGATTTTTAAAAAGACTTATTTAGTTATATTTTATGTGTTTAAATGTTTTGCCTGTATGTATGTCTGTGTACCACATGTGTGCTTGGTGCCCCTGGAGTCCAGCAGAGGGCATCAGATATTCTGGGACTTGAGTTTCAAATGGTTGTGAGCCACCACGTGGGTGCTAAGAATCAAATGCAGGTCCTCTGGAAAACGGCCGGTCCTCTTAACTGCCGGGCCATCTCTGCAGCCCAATATTTCTGATATTAAAGTTAATTATCTTTAACAATTTACTTTTTAAAAATGCACTTCTTTAGGTGAGAACTTACTTAAATTATATGAAAGATGGGTTTGTAACTGACTTAGAAACTCTTAAGGGGAGACAATTTGGGAAAGTGAATCTATAACTCAACAGTATTCTTTTGAGTAGTGGAATTATAAGTAACTAAAGTATGCTTTTCTACATTCTATATTCTTTGTCTCATGTATAGGACTCATTTAACAGGAGAGACTGACGTGTTCTGCTCAAGTTGTAAGTTGTAGGTATTATTACCGTTATCTATGTCAGATGTGAGACCTTTTGGAGCAAAATTACAGCTGACAAAAATGTACTCTTTAGGTTGGCCAGTTAGACGCCAGTTTTTCAATTTTTTTTTTTTTTTTTAGACAGGGTCTTACAATGTAGCTCTGGTCATCCTGGAGCCTGTTATATAGACCAGGCTGGCCTCAAACTCACAGATATGCTCTTCCCTCTACCTCTAAAGTGCTGGGATTAAAGTTATGTGTCATTACTACAGTTTAAAACAGAGTTAAAAAAAATGTGTGTATGTCTGTGTGTGGGTAAGTATACATGATTCATGCTTTAGATGCCTTTGCCCTGTCAAATCTGCATGCTTAATGGCATGGCACATGGTCCCTTTAAACTTTGACATTCATGATCCTGTTTTATGTATGTATGTATGTATGTATGCATGCATGCATGCATGCATGTGCTTGTTATGTGCCTACACTACTGATCTGTGCTCCTAACACAGTACTTTGACCAGCCACATCCTCCAACCCTAGGTGCTCTGATGACTGTGAAGAAGCAAATGCAAACTTTGTGGTTCCCACATTTAAACTGTGAACAAGAGAGGAGACCAGACAGACGAAGAGTGCATCTTCACTCATGGAAAACTACTCCAAGTACGTTCTCTCTCTCTCTCTCTCTCTCTCTCTCTCTCTCTCTCTCTCTCTCTCTGTCTCTCTCTCTTTTTTTGAGACAGGGTTTCTCTGTGTAGCCCTGGCTGTCCTGGAACTCGATCTGTAGACCAGGCTGCCCTTGAACTCAGAGATCCACCTGCCTCTGCCTCCCAAGTGCTGGGATTAAAGGCATGTGCCACCATCCCCCGGCTTCTATTTTTTCCTTTTTAAAGGAAATTTTCAAGTTATATGTGATGGGCATTGAGACTGAATATTGATGTTCAAGTTGTTTTTAACATTTTCTCCGAACAATATTCAGATCTGTGGCAAAGGCAAAAGTAAAAAAGTTATGTACATAATGTAGAGAGCCAAGGAATTTAGACATGAAGTAATTTATCTTCACCTGATTGTGAGACTCAAGGCCTGGGAAATGCAGCTTACCACATAAAGAATTTCACCACAAGAAATCAATCATTTCAAAGCTGGTAAAATTTAAGTATCAATTCTACCTTTTTTTTCTTTTAAACAGAAACTATAGGTAGGTCAATAGGGTAAAAAAAACCTTTAGTATCAATTGGACTGTGCTTACCTTACAGCTTTGAAAACTCTGATTTCTTGTGTGCTGCAGTGGTGAGCTGCATTTCCTGCTGCCGGCGGACTTCCCAGCAGGAAGGAGTTCTATCTGATGGAGAAGCAGCCAAAGGAAGTCCTCACTGAGAGACACACTGGTGTCATTCACTGAGTGGAAACAGTGCAAGAGTAATGTATTTCTAAGGGGGTTTACATTATGAACACATGCGCTTTCATAGCAATTTACAGGCACACACACTTACCTTTCCATGGTGGAAGGAATCAGTCATTTTCCTCAAAAAACCTGACTTTTTCTATAAAGCATTTGGTTTTACCCTACTATCCTATCTCTGGAACACTGTTCACAAATGCATCATCGCCTTCCTAAACACAGAACCAAACAGTGTCGAGTCTTAACTGAGCAGTTGTGACGGCAGCCCTTCCAGCAGCGTCTCTAGAAACAAAAGCAACCTTCATCGTCTTTTGCATGACCTTTATCAACTGAGTCGGCCACTTCTCATTGCGACAACATCTGGAAATTTTGTCCAACCTACTTTGAAGCAATTCTGTTAAACAAAATTTTTGAGTTTTCGAAAATTTAACATTTTAAATAGAAACAAAAGGTCAACAGAAAATAGTTTTAGAAACTATGACTTAGAAGTTTCGTTTAAAAATTCTTGAGGGCTGGAGAGATGGCTCAAAGGTTAAGAGCACCGACTGCTCTTCCAGAGGTCCTGAGTTCAATTCCCAGCAACCACATGGTGGCTCACAACCATCTGTAATGAGATCTGGCGCCCTCCTCTGTATACATAATAAATTAAAAAAAAAAATCTTGAAATATGAAGCTAGAGATGGGTCTGTGGTTAAAAGTACTGGCTGTTTGTTCAGGGGTCCGAGTTCAGTCCCCAGCACCAACATGGCAGCTTTCAACAACCTCTAACTGCAGTTACAAAGGATACAATGCCCTCTTCTGGCCTCCAAGGGCAATAGGTACATATGTGGTACACAGATATACATGAAGGCGAAATACTCACACCTATAAAAAGAATTCTGAAATATATACTTCTTACTGGTTATTATGAATTATAGTTCATTGCATTTATTGTTCTAGATTGGATGTCAATATAGTACCAGTAGCTCCATAGACTCATCTAAACTTAATTAAAATAAGATTAAAACTTTAATTCCTCAGTCACATTAACAATACTATCAGTTAATAATCATGACACACTACTATTAGGAATTTTTTTTTTTTTTTTTTTTTTTGAGACAGGGTTTCTCTGTGTAGTTTTGTGCATTTCCTGGATCTTGCTCTGTAGACCAGGCTGGCCTCGAACTCACATAGATACAAAGATCCGCCTACCTCTGCCTCCCAGTGCTGGGATTAAAGGCGTGTGCCACCACCGCTCGGCGGGAAAAATTTTTAATGCATAGCATTATTCTAGACAGAGCATCTAAACAGAAGTGGTTGTTACAGTCAAAAGCCTTACCTGGTCTGAGGAGGTGTGGATGTGTAACTGGGCTGGGCTGGCCTAAGTACCGGTTTGGAATCTTCTTTGGCACAGGCTGAAGGGAGTACCTTTGCTGTAAACATGACATGCATCCTGAAGAAAAAACAAAGGATGCAGTGGAACATCTTCACAACATGCACACTATTCCCAGCAGCTTGGATCCTTACAAAATAGACATTAGCATTTCTTTCCTCCTCCTTCAGTATGTTCGTGGCTCTTTCTCTATGCAGAGCCTGTCCTGGACCCTAAGACACAAGTTAAGATCTTTACTCCCAGAGACTTGTCTGCTAGAGTAGAACGAACACAAACACAACACAGTATGAGTAAGGCGCTATGACGAGGAGGATGGAGTAAAAGCAAACAGAGTCAGAAAGGAGTGTGGGGGGGTTGCCCAAGGCTATGCTCTAAAATTTGGAAAAACAGAATCAACATTTAATTGGGACTATGTTAGCTATAAGAAAACAAGTACTTACTGTTTCATTTACTCTTGGAATGTTAGTCTGATAAGAATAATCTAGGAAAAAATGCTTAGCCATAGCTAACACATAATGTGAGCACGGTTAGCATTAATTTAACCATTTTATTTAGGACATCACCAGAACACATGCTAAGCAAGACATAAGAGTAAGATTGTTTGCCCTGTAGTCAAAATGAAGCATGATGGAGATGAGGCAAGACAGAACATTACAATACTATATAATATAAAGAGCTAGACTCATAAACACAGCAACTGTTATATATTAAGATGGGTCCAGTCACAAGGAGAGGCACATGGAGCTGTTCATAACACATATTTGTGTAACTGCAGAAGGTGAGGATGCTCAAACAGCAATCACTCAAGTTACCTCCCCTGACGGGGAGAAGTGAAAAGCGCTTCATGACGTCATCACAGCAGGCACCATGTGTACACAGGTGCTCGGATGGAGAGGAGGAGGGGAGGCAGAGAGAACCCATGACAACGAACTAGTGCTACAGCAGGCTACTCCACTAGCAGACCTTTGAAAGCTTTACACGGTCTATCCTGGCACTTGGCAGGCAGAGGCAGGTGGATCTCTACGCTGGAGGTCAGTTTGGTCTAGATCGTGTGGTCTAGGACAGCCGCTGCTACATAGTGAGACTGCGTCTCAAAAAAACCCAAACAAATGAGTTGTCAGAATCAGACACAGAATAACAATTTATACAAATTCATACAGCACTAGATAAAATGAGATTCAAATTTAGGATTATTTAAATTCAAAATCTTTGGACTCAGTCTTCCATCCAGCCTCAATACAGATCTTATTTAATGCCAATGAACCAATCAGTACTGTAAACTCTTGGACATACAATCAGTTCAAAAGGGGAGTATCGTAAATCAGATTAGGAATAGACTATTGTAGAGCCTGGGAAGCATTAACAATGGCATGTATTTGAGAGTTAGGAGTCTGTGTGGTGGATATGTGAACTGAGGGTACATGTGTGGAAGCCAGAAGTTTATGACAACTGCCCCCCCCCAAACCCCAGCTGAGGACCGAACCCAGGGCCTAGCAAGCGCTCTACCACTGAACTAAAAACCAACCTCGACAAATGTCTTAAGTTGCTCTTCCCTGCATTTTTAGAGACAAAGATTCACTAATCCTGGCGCTCACCAATTTGGCTAGACTGGCTGGCCAGCAAGCTTCAAGGACCTCTATTCCTGGCTCCATGCTAGGGTTCAGACACACACCAACACACTGCAGATGTGAAGGCATGCTCACTCCTGATCTTCGATCCTGACTTTCAGAACTGAGAGAAAACAAACTTCTGTTGCTTTAAGCTGCCAAGTTTATAGTATTAGTTGTGGCAGCCTCAGGGACTAATGCAATGACTTGCTAAGCTTTCAAGGCACTGACTGAAAACTGGCTGAACTCACTACAAGTCTGTCTCTGTTCTTAAATCAGGTCCAGGTAGAAAAAGAGCAGGGATTGAGCAATCCTTAAAATGTTTTTAAAAAATAAACTTTATTATAAAGAATTTACAAATAAAAAAGTTACATTTCAAAATGAACCAGACCTAAAATCTATACATGTCAATGAACTTCTATATAGTTAGAGTAGCCATTTGGAATTAGAAGTTGTGGAGTTTTACATTGTATTTTATATTTTTACTACCAAATACTTTTATGCACTTACCCACCACCCCAAATGAAAAATAACCTGAGTCAGAACCAGAAAAAGAACTTTACAGCTTCTTTTGTAACCTGCAACTTTAATATTTTAGAAATTTATCCCTACCTAGCTGAGTGATGGTGGCACACGCCTTTAGTCCCAGCACTAGGGAGGCAGAGGTAGGTAGAGCTCTGTGAGTTCGAGGCCAGCTTGCTCTACAGAGCGATTTCCAGGACAGGCTCCGAAGCTACACAGAGAAACCCTGTCTCAAAA